TATCATGTTTGAGCCGATTTTGCGACTCAAAAAAAACACGCAAATCTAAAACTTTTTGAAATCAAGACTTTTTTGAGAAAACTGCCAACATTTGCTTATCGATGGTTCACTTTATAAAAAGGCCATTTAGTTCTCTCTGGAATGATGTAAAAGTGAGCGTTCTTGCTCATTTTGCTTCCGAGAAATGCGCAAAAACGCAAGCGAAAACATGAAATTTTGGCATAATCTTGCAGCTAAGTGTCTGATATTCAAATTTCGCTTTCTGGGTCAAAACAACTCGAATTTTCTCGTAATTGGTGTAACTGGATCGAATTTTGAAGCTGCTATCCTTAAAATTACTATTGATTGTTTCAGACGTATATAAACGGAATTATTCTAAACATACGCAAATAACGACAATATAATAATAAAAAATTGTTTTAATATTCAACCACTTTTTAATTAATAAGTTACTTACTTGCAAAAGATTCAGATAATAATCCACACCAGCTTGATTGATTTTGTTGGTGGTACCATCGGGGAGAATTCTGGACCAGGAAATCGAGAATCTGAAACGTAAAAATACGTTGAAAGTACTACTATAAAAACTATTTCCAGCGCTACTAGAACAGATGTCTTTTTGCGAAAAATTTTATGAGAAGAGTTTATTGTCTTTACCTATAAATGCTGACACCTAATTCGGTCAGCAAGCGGACATCTTCCCTCCATTTGTGGTAAGAATCACATGCAATGTCGGCATTTTTCCCATCTGTAGTTCTACCTGAAGAAATGTAAGTTTGATTTACATTGATTTGGTTCCAGAAGAATCACAAAAAATTCATACTTTCATCTTGTAAGTAAAACTTCTTGAATATTTGCGCCAATTTTTATAGGGCTGTATTAGATGAAAATATCCGCTTAGAAGTGAATATAACGTAAGAATAGAAAAGAATCATCATTATAATATTCATAATTATTGAAATTCAAAGTCCATGTATATCGTGTTTATATGAAGATCACAAAATCGAGCAAATGCAATATTTTAATGTTTTGCCTGTCGCTGCTTGTTTCGGTGCATCACAACAATTTCATATTAATAAAACTCCTTGTATATTGATGCATACGCGTCATTTTCTCAAAATAGAGACAAACCTTTAATTAAACTGAAAACAATTACTTGTAAAGTGTGCCTACTCTACTTACTAGCATTGTCATGTAGAAATCGATCCCACATATTCTCTCCTTTGCCATCTTCATCCCATGCACCCTCTATTTGGTAAGCCGCTGATGCCACTCCAAATTTGAATGACTCTGGAAAGCGTCGATCTGTTATCTCTTCATCTCCGCAAACTCTGCAAAAAACATCACTTGATAAACAGTGAGACAATACTGTTAAAATCACAACATTTGTATAATCAATCACATCGAAATGTTTTTGAATTTCCAATTTCCTGCTTCTTTCGTTAAAAAAAATAATTTTCTATTTATTTAAGAGATTTTGTCTTATCGGACTTATTAGCGAATCTTATTTCAGTGCCACTTAAGTGACGAATTAACTTTCTGAAAATTCAAACGGAATCCAAAACCGACGACTGTCTAATTTTGGCTTAATTTTAAATCAAAACTGAAACATTTTATATGCACCTGTACAATATTGTACATGTTTTCTCACCTAGAGCAGATGCTCATCAAGCAGACGGAAACTAAGATTCCAGTGGTGATCTTCGTAGCCATCTTGGTTAAGAGCACAGAAACTGGAGCTCAAAGTTCCACGCTTTTTAAAAGTATTTCCTCCACAAATTTCGAGATTATTGCATCATCGATCACGTCGTAATCTCTTTGCAAATTGTCAAAAATTAACTTAAGTGTTTATTTACTTTTGCTTTGAATTTTTTCCTTTATTTACTGATTACCCGGCGACAATGAAAGCATTGACAAACCTCTTCAAAGGATTATGATTAAAATGTGTAAAGCTCTTATATCAGTTCAATCGGGGGAATAGCAATATAGTTCAGTAATCCTGTTAGGTAATTTTTTAATTTAGAAAGAGGTGAGATGGATTTAAAAAGAAAAAGTCGATGTAAATGAAAGATTGATGAGTATAACAACAAGTCAGATGAAGGAAAGTGGAAGCGAAGGCTGACAAAGACTGAAAGTAGCGAGAAGAAAAATGCTGTAATTGACCAACCAATGAGAGGAAATATGGAGTCCAGTAGATAACAATTCACATTTGATTAAAGGAACATTGAACAGACGCAACAGCAACAAATTGACGAGAAATGTTGAGAATAACAAACTAAAATCGAAAAATAATATTGAAAACTTAACTGTTTGAATACCGTTGTATATTTTCAATAATGCAAACTAAGTTCACCAAATTTTCTTCAGTATTGTCAAACAAAACTGTTTAATTCAAGCGGATTTTGCAGAATTTGGCATTGTATCGGTCCAGTCTATATTTTTTCTTGTCTATGTCTATTAGTTTTAAATTTATACTCGATTATTCCACCCCATTTGTATTTTAACGAGTTAGTTTGAATTAGTCAAAATCAATTATGTGGAAAATTTTTACTAACTATTTGTAGCAGCAACAATTCTAACTTTATCTTACACAAATTTGCCTCAGAACAAAGCGTTTCTGTTCCTCAGAAGATTTTCCGGTGCATAAACACCATTATTAGGGTGAAAATATAGCTTAAACACCTCTAGATTGCTATGGAAAAATGCGTAAAGTCTAATAAGAGTTTATAAAGTTTACATAAAAAAACAATAGATTATATAAAAATAAGAAGTTGTCTTTATTTTAGAAATCTTTATTAACGCTGAAATAGACACATTTTCCTGCATATGAAAAGCCAACAATTAAATTTCTGCAAATTATTATACTGCAAGAAAAGTGTATTTTTTTAAATATTAAAAAAGAACAAGTCTCAGAGGTATCTTATAATTTGACCAGATAATGCGGCTAAGAAACATTTCAAAAGTATCATGTAGTACCAGCGGAAGTTGCTGATAAGATATAGTCATTTAAGATGCGAACAAAGAAATTCATCCAAAATGAAGTACGTATATTTAATTTAACATTTTTTTTATAAATATGATTTACAAACAAATAAACAATCCGAAATTATTGCGAATTTTCGCAAAGGAAGTTTGATGCAGTATTCAGAGCGACTTTAATAAAATAGAATAAAATGTGTTTTGATTTCTTTTCCAAATCAAGAGTTTGACGATCACTTTTGAAGAAGCCCCACGTTTTCACACAATAACACTTAAGGGTGTTTCTGCACTCGATTTGCTCAAATTACACTTTACTGCATTTTCGTAAGCAAAGATGATAAATTAAGAAAAAAATGGAAAATCATGCATGTTTTATTCGCACGATGCACCGAAAATAATGTCATAATTGCGATCAAGGAAAGTAAAATTATACTCATGTTTGTCAAGTTATTACAAACAGTGCTTTCAAAGATAAATCTATTAGATCAAGTGGAAGTTTTAGCAGAAATACACGACAGCAGATATGTGATGTGGAAACAAGAAAAAATAGTTTTTTCTACTTACTGATACCAAATAATCCTGAAACTGCACTTCCATGATCGATTCAAACCCAAAAGCGGTAATTTGAGCACAACAACATGTTTTGAGGGGATTAATTTTCAGTTCCTTTGAACATTTTTCTCATAATTACCTACACTTGAAACTTAAGTGGAATTAAACCGCGATTATGTCGAGTATATAACCAGACAAATTTAAATCGGCCGCTTATCGCACTTGTTTTCGTCAAGTTGTGAAAATGAAGGTGATTTTCCTCCTAGCTGTTACCAGCTTCTTCACGGGGTAAGTACATGGAATCTACCATACTCAAAACTCTCATTATAAATAATTACATGTTAAAACTGTACGATGGAAATTTAATAAAATACCCGGTTTAAAAGAAAAATTTACATTTTTCTTCAATATTTTCTCAGTTGACGAACTTGTGTGTCTCCTTCTTATCTCAGAATTTTCGAGCAAAAATTATTATGATGTGATACAATGATAAAAAAAAGAATAAAAACGTGAATACTAATTTATCACATGTTTCTGATAAATATATTATCAGGTATTCTATATGATGATGAGCTGGATAAGGGGCTGGTTATTTTATATAACTTAAGAAGAAAGATTGACAGTAAGCAAAATGCTCATTTGGGAGAACTAAAACAAGTAAAATGAAGTATCAAATGCTGAATGAGGAAATACAAAAGTGAGCAAGAAGATTGCAATTACGAAAGAACAGTGTACGAATTAAAAGCACAGAGGTAGTAGAAGATTTTGTAACAAAATTGTCAACAAACACAGTTTTTCACTTTTGTATCAAGTCTGATGCATCAGTCTTGTAAATTATTTTCCCCTTTTCCTTGTTTGTCATTTCCTAATCTCTATATTATCTGAAAAGGAGATTTTGTTATGAAGTTCTGGTTATGAAAAAAATTTAAAGAAATTTTTGAACTAAACACACTAGCCCAGATAGCACCCAAATATTACAGTAATATTTTTTTGCAATATTTAATATAGGTTGAAGCGACAGATTCTTGA